AAGAAGATACACTTAAGAAAATGAAAAACCAAGCCACAATGGAAGAAAATATTTGCAAAACACATACCCAATAAAGCAGTAATATCCAGAACATGCAAAACAAAACAAAACCTTACAACTGAATAATAAGAAACCAACCAACCAACCAACTTTTAAAAATGAGAAAAGGTTCAAACAAATGCTTCACCAAAGCTACATGTATGGCCAATAAGCACATGACAATATGCTTAACACCATTATTCATTATGGCAAAGCAATCTAAAGCCATAATGTGAAGACACTACACACCTACAGGAATGATTGAAATTAAAAAGATGGACCATACCATATGCTAGCCATTGAGTCCTCATACTTTGCGGTTGGGAATGAAAAATGGTACAGCCATTTTAGAAAACAATTTGGCTTTTAATGCTAGGCCTTACAGTTACCACAAGACACAGAATCCCATTAGTAGATATTTATCTAAGAGAGGAACTATATGTCCACAGAAATACTTGTACCCAAATGATACCAGCTTTATTCATAATAGCCCGAACTGGAAGCAATCTAAATGTCCATCAACAGGTACATGTATAAACACATTATAATATATCTATACAACAGAATATGACTCAGCAATAAAAAATAACAAAACTACAAGCAGTTTGCTGTGAATGAATCTGAAAAGCATTATATAACATGAAAGAAGCCAGACAAAAGATTACATCTAGTATGATTCCATGTACATAAAATTCAAGAAAAAGCAAAACTATGATGAAAGCAAGCAAATCAGTGGTTACCAAGGGCTGAGGGGAGGAGGATTGATGCAAATTGGCAGGAAGGACATTTTTGAAGTAAGGGAAATGTTCTATACCTTGTTTGTGTGATCAAGTAACTGCATACATTTGTCAAAACTCATCAAATTAAACAATTTAAATTGGTGATTTTTATTGTATGTAAAGTATACCTCAAAAAAGCTGCCTTTTTTAAAAAGTTGATCATTTACAGGTTCCAACTGAAGTAACTAAAATCATCTTTCTAACAAAATGCAAATTTTAGTGCACTGAACCTTTAAGATGTTGCAAGTCTTTAAAAAGAAACAGATGTTCGGGATTATCATAAAGCTGGTTGTAAAAAAAACTCAGTGTCAATAGCCTTCAAAATTGTCCTAAAATGAGAGTCCACTGTTAACAAGTAGGAATCTCTAAGCACTATTTCACTGTAACTTACAAAATGGACCATTCTTTAGATAAAAGAAATTCTAATTCAAATATAATAAAAATGATAATAAAAGTACCTTAAATTACATATCTGAATGAAAAAGCCCTTAATTTAGAAAACCTGATATATATGAAAATGTGAGCATGCACATTAAGTGATTATATACTTTATAAAAAGTTTCACACTCAATTTAACAGTAAACTTATCTAATCCATTTAAATGACTCGATTTAAGCACAGATTTTTCAGGGAAGTGCCCTAATTATACTGAGCATAAACAAGAATCAGCAACTCTAAGCTCTCTAGCTGCAATTGTATAATTTCTCCTCTGGGTCTTAACTGAGACAATATGTTAAATAATATGACTGACTGGAATTGTAAGATTATTCCACATAGTCATATTTTGTATCTTTCCAATACAAGCAGAATAAGCTTAGGAGAATCAGTAAAATGTGTGTGTGTGTGTGTGTGTGTTCATTTTTAATATGGCTCACCATGGGAAACAGGTCACAAGCAAATAACTAAATTCTGCATTTATCTTCTCTTCCTCTCATAATCACATTGTGGTGACACCCAAGAAGCTCTAGAACATACGAATGTTCAGGTTGCAATCTTGAGATTCAGAGTAAGAGAGTAAAGGGGTCCTTACCAAAGCCTGACCTTGAACTTGACTCCCCAGGTAGCAAACAGCTATTGAGCCAATTCATACAATCCTTCAGGCAGAGGTAATCATATATTCACTTACCTAAAATCTAAGACTCTCCTTATAACCTACTGGTCAGGAAATCACTGGCTAAGGCTGAGTCCCAACTAAGAAGCCATGAGCAATGCCCCCACACTTAAAAACTGCAAGGCTGGCATTTCTTAATCCTAACAGTGTGGACAGAAGCAAGTAAAAGATGTCAGTCTAATTATATGTTTCCAGGATAAAGAGATACAGATGGTGCTGGCATCCACCTCACTAATTTTGCAAACCGAGTAAATGGTTTGAATCCTTGTCTTTGGACTCAATTAAAATCTGTTTCATAACTTGAAAGAACTCTGGAGAATTTAGATATTTTCAGAAAAATTTACATATGGTGGGCAACCAATTTATGCTATTCCTCCAATTTCCCTGGAAAGAGACCAATGTGTAATCAACAGTTTCTAAATAATCCAAGCTGTGATGCCAAATGAATATAAATGTGATGTCAACAAAAAAATTACTCAATAAATGATAATCTCATGTATTATTTTTAAAAGGTTTTTATTACATTTTCTTTGTTTTTTTTTAATAATCAAACTGAAATACACAAGAAAATCTAACCCCAATTTCACAGATGGTGAAAACTCATTTGTCCTGGATCTCACATTGCATTTGTTATGAAAGAATTCTATGTTCTTTACACTATTCCACAAAATATTTCCAGCTCTTGATAAAGACTTCTCGTCTAAGTAAAGGTTTATTCGCTACATTTTTTGATACATCCTTTTTTCTCATATTTCTTATATGGCATAATGGACTTGAAATTTGGAAATCTGGAGTTATGTTCTGACCCCTAACTGGTCACATGTACTTGATCAACTCCACATAGCCTCACAGTGACACCGACCACTAAGGCACTGCGCATATGTCGCTATAATGTCCACCTGTATGTGTGGCGGGGGGTGCAAAGGAATAACTATTAGAAGCATAACACAACATGGAACACACTACATGAAATCAGCTTTGCAAATTGTCAAGCATCTGTTAAGGTACAATTTATTCCACCATGATCCAAGAATTACAAACTCTTTACCACAACAGAAATTCAAAGCAAAGATAAACTCTACTGCAGTCTCATGGAGACGTCTTCTCTGGCCATAACAAAACACCAGAAAAAAAAATGAAACTTCCTTCTTGTTCTTGCTTATTTCTCCTCAAGACCTTGTATTTGCCTCTAAAACTGTTTACTTGAGGGGAACATCTTTTATTTACGTGAAATCATTAAAATGCCAACCCTGGATCCATCTGCTTCATGTCTACATCCAGGAGGGCTAGAGAAAATTACATAGCCCTACAGACTGGTAAGAAGACAAACTCATGGTTCCCAAGCCAGCTGGGCCTCAGAATCACGTGTGCACACTCTTCCTGCAGCCGGTGCCTCCCATGGCTTCAGTGGCCCCTCACGCTTGCTACCCAGGCCTGGATGTCCCCCCTCCAGCAGGGTCTCGCCTCTCTCAATGTACTTCCCTTCCTTTAACTCGCTCATGTCCACACTCGGCTGCACCTCCTCACTAGGTTCAAGACCAAATATTCTTCCTCCTTTTCAAATCTAGTCCCTTCACCTCTTTGTCCTTGACCTCATCCCCTCATTCCTACTCCACAGCCTTGTTCCAGCAAACATGTTCTTCTTTATCCTGAAGAAATCCCCCCAGTTTCACTTTTTCCTAAACCTTAGCCTATAAACAAGTCTAAAATACATATATATATCACCTGTACATGCATATACATTGCATATACAACCTACTATACAGTTTGTCTCTTCATATTTACTAAATTTATTGAAATATTTGTCTCGGTCACTCTTCAAACTGCTGAAATCTTTCTGCCCCGCTGCTCTCCTGCAACTGCTCTAATGAACCCCCGTTGTCAACTACAACAGGACTAGGTCAATCTTTATATCATTGCACCTGTTTACTGCCTCTGAAGCTGTATCTGAGTCCATTGTCTTAAGACTTCCTGCTCCCTTTGACATTTGTGCTTCTATAATACTCTCCGATCTCTACTGTAGAAGATGTCAATTGTTTCTTTCTGCCCACTCCATCTTCTTCCATTCTTCTGATTAACAAGATACCCTTTTCTTTCTGGTTCTGGTAGGGCTACCACTCACAGTATGTGGCCACAGTGATTGGTACAGAGATGGGCATGTAATTTAGCACCTAGCTAATTGGAGTCTTCCTCCAGGATTATTTTACATTTGGAGTTGTCAATGAAAAGCTCTTTTCTTTATGGTTTTGGAGTTAAAGAATATGACCCTGGAGCTGCCTGAGACTATAGATCTAGCCTCAAAGGCTCACCCAGCTGGCAAGAAAAAAGCCAACATAAATAGAGAGTCTGAGAAAAAAAAAAAAAGATTTGACAGCGTTCACGTTCCTGGCTTCAGTCACACCCAAAGCCAGATTGGACCCTGACTGTCCTAATGTGATTATTTGATCCATTAAATTCTCCTCTTTGGCTTAAGACAAATTCTTATTTGTTCTCTTCTTAAGTTCCCCATCCATCATTTACTATAACTTTCTATCCTATTCTCATTCCATTCATTTCACTGTACATATACTCCTTTGATTTCAACTGGACTCATACTTTCAAACTTTTAACTATGTGTTGATGAGTCCCAAGTCTCTATCACCAGGCCAGACCTCTACCCGTGTTTCACACTCAACTTAATGCTACATCACTTCACCTTGATTACTCACTATTAAGTGACTATCAACCACTTGTCCTGAGGTCACTCTCAGGACAGGTTTATCCTTGTGGCATAACTATTAATAGCAGTCTTTCCCATTCTTGAAAGTACACTGATTTGGATGACAAAGTACATGATCATCCTGCCTCAAACTCAATGTTTCCTAAACTGAGCCCATCATTATTCTTCCTGTGTCTCAGTCAGACAAACTAGAAGACAAAAGTCATCCTTGACTCTTCCCCCTGAATCTGGCCTCCATGTTATAACAATCTCCAGTCTTTGAACATCTCTCAAATCCACCACCTCCTCTCCTTTCTTATAGCCACTGCTCTGGTCTCCTCCCACTTCTGAAGTACAGCAATAGCCTACTAACCTCCAGTCTTGTCCTCCTCAAATCCATCACCCACGTAGCCATCAGGGTGTTGAATCACCAGCCCAAATTCTTCACCCCTCTCTCTATCTATGCCCTTTGCCATGACTTTGAAGTTTCTCCAACAGACACAGTATACTTCCCTGCCTCTTGACTTTGGGCTCCCCCCCTATGACTTGCTCTAACTGATTGAATGTTTAAACATACAGTTCAAGCAGGGGTGTGACACGTACTTCTGTGGTTGAACTTAGGCTTTTGTGCTCCTGCCCTTGCCACTAAAAGAAGATTCTTTGGCTGGCCCTTAGGTCCAAGAAGGATGAGAATTGGATCAACAAAAACTGGCCATGTCCAGACAAGCCCAGCATAGAACAGTTACTCCCAACCAAATGGCAGAAGGATGAGGAAGAGAATAAATGTTTTAAGTCACTGGGTTTTGCAGTGGTTTGTTATGAAACATTAGCTAACTGACATAATTCTCCTTCTCTTAGTTGGTAGCACTGATTTATCCCAAGTAGAAACCTAAAGTAATCCTTGATTCTTCTGCCTCACTTGGACCTTCACATTTCAACAGTGTTAAACATTTGCAAATCTGTGTAAACATTTCTTGAATCCAGAGCCCCTCTCTATTCCTGCTGCCACTCCCCTGATTCAGACCTTTATCCATTAGATCCTGGACTGCTGTAATAGATTTACCTGGCTTCCCTGTGTCTAGTCCTGTCCTCTTCAAGTCTAAAATCCACACAGCCCCCAAGAGACCTTTCTATAAGGAACAGTGACCATTTCTACCCACTTTATCCCTTATCTCCTCTGCTGAAAACCCTTTAATGAGTATCCATCTCCTACAGAACAAATTCAAACTTCCTTAGCATACTAACGAAGATATTCATGGTCTGGTCCCTGCTTACTGGTTCAGACTCATCCCTCCGCACTTCTGTATTGCAATATAAATTACAGCAACATTGCTTACAGCTTTCTAGTATCTTTACAGAAAGATACTATCTGGCCCTCTACCCCAGATGATGTGCTTCTCCTCTGTGCTTCCTGCAATATGCTGTACATATTTATATATACTTACCCACATGATAGTGACCTATCAACCTATCTCTCCCACTGGCTTTTTGAGAGCAGACTGTCTTACTCCTGTTTTGAGAGTCTTGCCTTAGGGCAGAGCTTAACATATATAAGGCTCTCAATAAATATTTAATAAGTAAATGAAGGAGTAAGTGATTTTTGTAAAATACGTAAAACATATTTACACTGTTTATTAAACACACTCTGTCTCCTAATCTCAAGTTACATAATTTTTTCTTGCTATTAATACATATGATGTAAAAATTACCATTGCAATACATCTATGTTTTCACCTAGGTTCTTTTCGCAGATTTAACATCAGTGATATGAAGCCAAAATAATGATATGATCAACCCAGCTCTCCCATTCAGAAACTTGGGATCCCACTTAGATTTTGTACTTTCCTTTACCAATTACTAAGTCCTTTGTGATGGTTAATTTTAAGGGTCACTTGATTGGGTCACAGGGTGTTCAGATATGTGGTTAAACATTATTCTGGGTGTATATGTGGGGGAGTTTCTGGATGAGATTAGTATGTGAATTGGTAGACTGAGTAGTAAAGCAGATAGCCCTCCCTAAGGTGGGTGGGCCTCATCCAATCCATTGAAAGTCTAAATAGAATAAAAGGCTAAGTAGGAAAGAATTCTTTGTCACTGCCTGAAAGTCTTCAAGCTAGGACAGAAGTCATCTTCTGCCTTTATACACCAGCACTAGAATCTACAGCAACTCCTGTCCTGCTTCTCAGGCCTTTCAACTACACACACACACACACACACACACCCCACCCCCCACCACACGCACACGCACACACACACACCTCCTATTGGTTCTGTTTCCCTGGAGGGCCCTTATACATCCTGGAAATCCTATTTCCTAAAAAGCTTCAAGATTTCTCCCTTTTTCTTATTTCCAAAAGCTCCATGGCTGGGAGTTGGCATTTATTTTCACACCCAAACAGGTATTTAGTAAGAATTAAGAGAACTGGACGTTTTAGATGCCATTTTCCTTTGGTGTGTATTAATGTACCCAACTTTTCAAATTTTTGATTAGTCACAATTTTTCTTTCACTTTATGTATCCATAACTTGTTTTTATCTTTTGAAAATCATTCTACCCTTTCAGATCAGATCTATTTCTACCTCTTTCAATTTTCCCCTGGTGGCGAACTTTGTATTCTGCATTCCCTTTTATTTTTCTTCTCTTTGTTGCTAAGGTATTATTTCTTCCCTAGTGCCCAATAAACTTCTTTTGTGGTGGTGATCATTTTTTATTTTGCCTTTCATGTTCTACTCCCAAACCAAATTCAAAAATGTACCTGTTCTGCTCAGTCCTACAAAGTTTGAGAAATAAAACTGATTAAGGCTGAAATGGCAAAAGCGTCATTAAGTCACTCTTTCTAGATTGATCAACAAGGGATGCTTTGGGTAGCAAGTAACAGCAACAACAAAAACAACAACAATAAGAACCAGAGACAAAAACCTCTGAAGGTGAAGAAGTACCAGGCTGGTTTGGTGGCTCACCTATGTCACCAAAGATCTAGGCTTTACTGTTATGCTTGACCACACTTAGGATATGGGATTTGATCCATTGGCTGGTTGCTTCACAATTGCAAGATGGCTTTCCCAGCTCCAAGCATCACAATAACAAGTAAACATTCAGAGGCAGGAGGTGATAGAAACTAAACCACAACAGATCTTTCTCTTCACCATGGACCTTGTTCCTTTTATAAGAAGGTACAGACTTTCCATGAAACCCCTTATATCTCATTGACAAAGGAGACTAGGAAAGTGAGTCCCAAACTTTTTTAGCCTCCATAATAATGGAGGTGAGTCAGAGAAGAAAGGGATTGGAAACGATTTCGAGGGAACAAACTCAATGTGCATCTGAAATAAATAAGAAGTGTCCTATGTGCACAGAACAATCACAAAGCAAAGCTACAGAGCAGTCATGAATGAAATAAATTGACCAGAGAATATCCAGAAAAGGGTGAACCTTGTAACAGGAAGATAGTCAATTTGGCTCTGGGGAGTGAGGGAGAAGAAGGAGACAAGAAGTAAAGTGGGAAACAAAGGAGAGAGGGAAGAGGGATGGAAGAGGTACTAGGGCAATGGAGTGATGAAGAGGAGACTGGTGGACAGGAAAGTAGCACAATCTAGAAAATTCCATACAAAAAGCTACTCTGGGCAGAAAAGCTTGTGTCACAATTACTGAGATTGCAATCATTTAAAGTAAGAGGAAATAGACCAATTTTCTATGAACAAAAGTGATTCTTCTTATATGTGTCTTCAGAGACCAATCCTACTAGCCCACATATCACCTAATGGCCTAAGGATACAAGGCTGTAAGGACTCTCCTGGCTAAATTTGTTGTATTTCTCCCACATCTAATTATTAGTTACTGCTGTACTAATGACTTTTCTGGGGATAATCATTCCACCTCTGCCCATCATCCCTCCAGTAAGTCCATGGTTCAAGCATTTAAACATTTAATTTTTGGTTCCTTAATATGCCTGAATTTGATCTTGTCCTGCTTGTAGTTCTCACCACTAATACCAACAGTGGTCTTATTCTAGCCATGATTTTTGAAGCTGTTGATTTTGTGATTCCCCTTATTTTCAGCCAGCTCTCAGTGACTCACGGGTAAATGATTCCTAATGAATCACAAACTCAAAGTGACATATCCTAATAAGAGGCTTGTTGATGTGAACTCAGTATGTACAAATTAGTTTACTGTTAAACTAAGAAAGCATACCACACCAGGGTGCAAATGGGATTTTAAGGCTAAAGGCCAAAGACACACTCTAAATCCATTGAACTACCAGTGAGTCAACAACAAAGGAAGCCAACGTCTTCCCTTCAGGCCTACCGATGGGTGCCAGGACAGTACCACCCTCACCATTAACCAGCACCCCCCTGCTCTCCCCATCAATACTAGAAGAATATGCAGAAGGGAGAAAGGTTGCCAGTCTTTTAGGGACTGTTCATGAAGACAGATTATTCCCTCCCCTCCCAAAAGGGAAGAAAGAATCCTCTGAAATGAAATGATTCAGTCCAGGCATGCAAAGTATGATGAGAGTTATGGAATCTGGCTAAGATACCATAATAGTAGCATCTGATCTATGGGAAAGGAATTGTGCCATAGTTAGGGGGTGGTTAACTGGTAAAAATAAAGCTGCGGCATATTCTTACTTCCACTGAATTAAAAACCATCACTATGCTGGCTCCAGGACTCTAAATGGTAAATTTCAAAATCACATAACTCATATATACATCATTTTATAATTCCTTTAAAAATAGAATTATCCACATCCTGCTTCTCTTCAGCTTGGGCCATCAAGAACACAATTATTATTCGTTGAAACAAAAGCACATATATAAAAATTAGGAGTGGTTGCAGAATTCAAAATAGAGTATACCATCTATTTAACAGTATCTCAAATTGTAACAGCACTGAAACTTAGTTTAATTTGGGTTGTCCCAAAAGCAGACCCTGAGACAAGGACTTGGGGGCAGATAACATTTGCAGGGTAATTCCCAGGATGCAAAAGTGAGGGAATAGGGAAGGTGAGACAGAGAGGAAGAAAGAAAATCAAATGTCTTATTACCACTGTGGGCAAATGGAACTCAGTCCCTCTTGGGGTACTATGAGAAGCTGCAAGGAACTTGCCTCAAAGTGGTACTACCGAAGGCTGGGGTAGTGAGGACATTAATCTACTTCCTCCTCCACACCACTGGTTGAGGGTTATCTCTGGGGAGATGTTAGCTCGCTTTCTTATGTGCCTCATCCATGGACTGACTCTCCAATCTTTGCTCTGTGTGCCCACTTGACACGGGTCCCTGGCAAATCCAGGAGATGCCGCCACAGGTGAATGGGAATCAAGTGCCTGAGGGGCTGGGCAGCTCTGGGGCACATCACCGACCCCTGCAACAGACGGCTGAGGGCTTGTTGCTTTCTTTGTGGAGTCAGCTGCTAGTGAGATGGGTTTCTGTCAGCACAGAATTGATTGCACAGGGACTGTAAGACAATAAACATGTTA